GAATGCCATTCATAATGAAATAATTTGGCGCTTATTATATTGATTTAAATATCAATTTTACAAAATCTTTTAATACAGACTTTTCAATTAATCAATTAGTATTCTTTAAATTCATAACAAATAATAGATTATTCAATTATAGATATTCATATTATAAATATTTACTTACATTATCTAATAATATAGATATAATATAAAAATTATGATAATTACCAGTAATAGTGAGGACAACAGATTTAATATCAGATTGGATGTCATTTTTGGCAAAACACGTATAGTTTGCCGCATCGGTTACGACAATGCTTTTAATCACAAATGTTGAATACATTTCATAATTTTTAATCTTATAGTTAACATCGGGTCCCGGTTTGACTGTTTGGCCATTAATAGCCCACTCAAAAAAATAAGGAGGTGTGCCCTCCTCTATGTTACATGTTATCTGAAAATATGAACCCAAGCTTTGTGTCCGAGAATATAGTTGTGTTAGTTTTAGTGCTAATTTAATAGATATAATATATAATTATTAAAATCTAATGAAATACTTGTTAGTAATTGCAAACAATACCTGAGTTACTATTAATATTAAAAGACAATAAAATTATAACAAAGGAAAACATTTTTATAATCATATTTGAAAATATTGCAAATACTGTAGATTGCAATGATATAATGGCCGACAAATGTAAAAATATTTGAAAAAATGAAAATTCGGATATTTTTATGTACAATAGTGACACACTTTGATTGCCATTCATAATGCAATTGTTTGGCGGTTTATATCAATATAAAAGATATAATTTATACAGACTCTCAGTAATTTTAGTCTTAAATCTTTTAATTCTTAAATAGTATTTTTTTTAAATAAATTGATATCTTATGAATATAAATTAATACAATTAAACTTATTTTTTATATAAAATTCAAACCTTTAATAGTAAGCGAAGTAAGGATTCGTGTGTCGGATCCGAAAGCGTTGCTAACAACACAACTATAGTTCCCGACATCACTCATGGATACAGATTTAATGGTAAATGTTGAGTGCATTTCTAACTTATCGATCTTATAGTTGACATCCGGTCCCGGTTTGAGTGTCTGTCCATTTCTGGACCACTCAAAGAACACGGGATGTGAACCTCTTTCAAGTGAACAAAATTCTTGAAAATATGAAGTAATCTCTTGTGTCTTATGTGTTAAACCCGTATAACTAATTTTAGGCGCTATTTATCAAACAATTTAATTAATTGTTAAGAATTCGGTTATAATATCAATATATACCTGATGTTGTAATAACACATATATTGATAATTAATATAATCAATAAAATTACCAACAATTTAAACATTTTAAAATATCTTATTATATAAAAAAAAGATTTCAATAGAAACAATGGCTGACAAAGTAAGAGATGGTAAAAAATATTTACTAATATATTTGTATCAATAATATAGTGTCGAATATAGTGACACACTTTGAATGAGATTCACAATTCAAGTGATAATATTTATATAATTGTGATAAAGAATAATATTATATATAATGTTTGCAAACTGTAAGCAACAAAAACTGTAAGAAATATACAGTAATTATATTATAATATAATATTAAATTACGCTATCTTTGCTTTTATTAAATAATATATTGATAAATTAAAAATTTTATGTATATTTCAAAAACATAACAACAATAAAATACCTTTTATTGTTAACAAAACAGTTTGACTATCAGATCCATAAGCATTGTTGACACCACACGTATAGTTTGCGGCATCGCTTTCGGCAACACTTTCAATGATAAGAGTCGATGATCTCTGAGAGCTCTCGATCTTATAATTGGTATCTGAAGTGGATTTGTGTCCATTTTTAGTCCACTCAAAGAATACGGGAAGTGATCCCAATAGTACTGAACAATGAACACTAAGATATGATCCTTGAGTTAGCTGTCGAGGATGTAATGAATCGAGTTTGGGAACTAATATAATAGCAATTTTAATATATATATTTGATAATTATTGTCGTTATATACCTGTCAAATCGATACCATTAATAGTAATCAATATAATAAATAACAAAACAATTGTGAAATTCATTTTTATCATATTTTATACAACTATAGAGTCAACAAAACTATGGCCGACAATAGCTAATGGATTGTTATATCATTGAAAGTCTTTTATAAAGAGATTTAATATATATTTTTGAATACATTGCGCCACACATTGAATGCCATTCATAATGAAATAATTTGGCGCTCAATACATATATTTCAAATCAAATTTTCGGTCAAATATCATTTAACCGCTTATGGTTAATACATCTGAATAACTTAATGAATAGCATTTAAATTATAGTATAATATTATTTAACTAAATGACAAACAGTAATAGTGAGGACAACCGATTGAGTGTCATTTCTGGCAAAATACGTATAATTTACTAAAACAGTTATAAGTTATAACAATATTTTTAATCACAAATCATTAAAACTTATATCTAATATTATAATATACTAATTATATAGAGCTTTAAAAATGCCATACAAGTATTTATATTGTTATTATAATTTATGTTAATATTATTATATAAAATTATTATAAGATAATATATTATATAAAAAATCAAACCTTTAATTAATAGTAAAATACTGCGGGAATCGGATCCGAAAGCATTGCTAACAACACAACTATAGTTCCCGACATCACTCATGGATATCGACTTAATCTTAAACAATGAAGACATCTCTGAGTTTTCAATTTTATAGTTAGTTTTGTCACTCGTTTTGAGTGTTTGACCATTTCTTTGCCACTCAAAGAATACGGGAAGAGTTCCCTCTTCTATAGAGCAAAGCATTTGGAAATTGGATTCAATTGTCTGATTCTTGTGAGTCAATCCGGGACTCAATTTGGGTGCTATTTATAAAAATCATTTCAATATTTATATAATTTCTACAAACAATTATCTTTACCTATAGACTGCTCGCATTGTATTTTAATATTATAAAATAAAAAATAAACACAAAATATAAGATAATATGGTTTTGCAAACATATTAAATATAAATGTCTGCTTTAAAAAACAATTGGCAAACAATGGCTGACAAGAGATGATATTTTATACTTATTTATACATATTATGACAGATATTTTAGTGTCGAATATAGTGACACATATTGAATGAGATTCACAATTGAAGTAAGAATTATTGATAGAAATACTTGTATAAAATAAATAAATTCAATGAAGAATTTTTTGTTAAATTGCAAATATTGTTAGCATTAGATAATAAAATTATATTATTATAATTTTATATAATAAGTTAACTACAATATAATTACAATACCTTTGATAGTTAGTTCAGCCGATTGACTATCCCTTCCCATACCATTGTGTACAATACACGTATAATTTCCGCAATCATCTCGTGTTATATATTTAATAGTAAATGTTGAATGTGTTTCCAAATTATTAATTTTATAATTAGTATCGGAAGTTGATTTCAATGTCTGTCCATTTTTAGACCACTCAAAAAACAATGGGTGTGAGCCCTCCTCTGCGGTACACATTATAGCAAATACTGATCCTAACTTTTGGGTTATTTTATTCAGTAAAGGCATTAATTTTGGTGCTATAATTCATTTTAAATTAAAGATTACTATAATTATTAAAACATTATATAATTTATATCAATACCTGTGACAACATTTGAGTTAATAGAAATGATAAAATTTGATAAAATCAAAACTACAAATTGAAAATTCATTTTTATGAAAGATTTTATAAAATTATCAAAACCGAGTCAATGGCTGACATTAACAATGACTTCAAAAGCAAATAATATATAATTGAGTTTTAGTCATGAATTTGGATATCTTTCGCCACCTTTTGTTTGCCATTCAATTTGTTTCAATTTTGGCGCTTAGGGTTAAACTTTCACATCAATACCCATACAGTGTCTTACATAACTAATAATACTATATTTAAAATTACCGTTAAAATTAACACATGAAATATAATACAAATTACTAGCAAATAATTATGTGCAATCATATGTTAGAACTAATGGCTTATAAAGTATTATGCATCTAATAGTAATAAATCAAATAATGTATATTAAAGAATATACTATAACTTAAATGTTTAAATAAAAAAATCTATTATTTCATACCTTTAATAGTTAGTAATACTGATTGACTATCCCTTCCCATACCATTGTGTACAACACACGTATAGTTACCGGAATCGTAACGATTGATACTTTCAATGGTAAATGTTGAATGAGATTTCAAATTATTTATCTTATAATTAGTATCGGAAGTGGTTTTCAATGTCTGTTCATTTTTAGACCACTCAAAAAACAGTGGGTGTGAACCCTCCTCTGCGGTACACATTATAGCAAAAAGTGAACCCAATTTTTGGGTTCTTTGATTCAATAATGGCATCAATTTTGGTGCTATAAATCATATGAGTATTAAATTATGATTAATGAAAAATTGATACAAAAAAAAGATCAATCATTTGTGTCAATACCTGTTACAACATTTGATTTGATAATAAAGAAATAATTTGATAATATAATAAAAATTAAAAACTTTTTAAAATTATTCATTTTTTTCTGTTTGAAATATTTATGAAATACAAATCAACAAAAACCGAGTCAATGGCTGACATTAACAATGACTTCAAAAGCAAATATCTTTGAGTTTTAAGTCATGAATTTGGATATCTTTCGCCACCTTTTGTTTGCCATTCAATTTGTTTTAATTTTGGCGCTTAGAGTTAAACTTTCATAAAAATGCCTATAAGTTATGTTATATAATCTATTAATTTTGTTATTAGTGAGTTATAATTATTATTTACAAAATTATAATTTATGCAAAAATGAGGGATAAATTATCATAGTATATGATTTATAATAACCAATAATATAAAGATAGTTATTAAATAGTTTTAGCATTTTTAAAGATTACTGTATATATTACTATTCTTACTATTTAAATAAAACCAAACCTTTAATGGATAACAAAACGGATTGTGTGTCACTTGCGATGGCATTCCTCACAACACACGTGTAATTACCGGAGTCTTTACGAGTGATACTCTTTATGACAAATGTTGAAAACATATCGTAATTATCAATCTTAAAGTTTACATTAGGACTGGGTTTAGCTGTCTGTCCATTAATAGTCCACTCAAAGAAAAGTGGAGGACTTCCCTTATGTATAGAACATGTGATTTGAAAATATGAGCCCTCATTAAGATTTTGTTGATTCATAAATGGCATTATTTTCGGTGCTATGAATTAGTCAATCATTAATTGAAATTATATATAATTAATAGATCACTCATATATGTTACCTATTATTTCAGCTGAATTTAGATTTACACTTAATTTAAAGCCAAAAATAACTAATAAATATATTAAATTCATTTTCAAACAAATTGTATTAATAAATGATAAAAATATAGTAAATATTATATTATGGCCGACAATAGCTCCAAGAATACAGAGCTTATACTGATTTTTTTGGTGATATCTTTCGCCACCTTTTGATTTACAATCAATTTATTTTATATTTTATTTCAAAAAAAAATTTTGTGTCAAACTGTAAGAGTTTTAGTTAGAGAATTGTAAACTTTTAGTATCCGAAAACAATAATTTTTTATATAATATGATTGTTTATATAAATTATTTTGTTTAATAGTTATAATAACAATTTTAATTAGATATTAGATATAATGTCAAACCTTTAACATTAAGTACAACAGATTGTGTATCACTACCGATACCATTGATGACAAAACACGAGTAGTTATGGGCATCGGTTGTGTCAATGGCTTCAATAGTAAGCGTCGAGAATCGCATTGAGTTCTCGATCTTATAGTTAGTGTCTGCTCTGGACTGTAGTGTCTGTCCATCTCTTTTCCACTCAAACTGTAGAGGAAGTGAACCCTCTTGTGTTGTACACAACATTTGAAAATATGAACCAATACTTTGGTTTCTGCTACTTAAAAGGGGCACTATTTTTGGTGCTATAATATAATTTATTAAATAAATTATTTATGAAATAATATTAAAATTTTCAATATACAGTACCTATTGCTTGTTGTGCACTATTAGAAAATTTTAATATTAAAATCATAGACAGATTTAATATAAAAATTCTTAAATACATTATAATTATATACTTTTTTATTTAAGTAATCACTATTATTTTTTGACAATAAGATAACATCAACAACAATGGTGTCAAATGTTATCAAAATATGATATTTTTGCTAAATTTTATGGCAGATATCGCGCCACACATTGAATGTCATTCATAATGTTATCATTTGGCGGTTAAGACAATTGTTACTCAAAGTTATATTTTTACAAATCATTTCAATAATTATCGGAAATATATAAGATATCATATATTTTTAAATATACTAATACATTATTAATTTGTTTTTTTAAATTTTAAATATAGAAATATTATAAACAAAATAATAATATAAAAACCTTTAATTGTGAGGACAACCGATTGTGTGTCACTTGCGATGGCATTCCTCACAACACACGTGTAATTACCGGAGTCTTTACGAGTGATTGTTTCGATAGTAAAAGTGGAAAATCTTTTATAAAAATCTATATTATAATTCAAATGTGGACCCGATTTGAGTAATTGTCCATTTTTATGCCATTCAAAATTAATAGGACCCGATCCCTGTTGTAATGAACATGTTATCTGTAAATATGTGCCCTCAGTTTGGCTCCGGTGGTTAAGTATAGGCGATAATTTTAAAGCTAATGAATTATACATTTTGTTTTATAACTGAATATAAATTTTCTTAAAAAAAACTTTATACCTGTAATCTCTTGACAATTAATAATATAAAGTAATTTAATGCAAAACACAGTTATATAAATTTTATAATTCATTTTGTCTTAAAAATGTAGATTTGATTTTAAAGTTATACCAAATATTCAACAATGGCTGACATATTTGAAGCAAAAGATTGTAAATGTTATCAAAAGTAAATGATATAATGACTACAATAGTGACACATATTGTTTGCCATTCATATTGTCTTCATTTGGCGCTTTAGTAATATATTTAAATATTTCGGACAAACTTTAATAGTATTTATAATAATGATTTTGATATCATATTATAATTAATCTTTTTATCAATTTTAATATTTCTATAAATATATGTAAATTTTAAAATAATTGGATAATAGAGTATTTTGATTTAAAAAATTGTATTTATCTGACAATACTTAGAGATTATATCATATCAATTAAATTTAAGATACCTTTGATTGACAATACAACCCATTGACTATCAGATCCATAAGCATTAGTTACACCACACGTATAGTTTGCGGCATCGCTTTCGGCAACACTTTCAATGATTAGTGTAGAAAATCTCTGAGAACTTTCAATCTTATAATTGGTATCAGAAGTGGACTTTAATTTGTGGCCATTTTTAGTCCACTCAAAGAATACAGGAATTGATCCCAATTGTATTGAACAATATATATCAAAATATGTGCCAATTGATTGATTTTTATATTTACCAATAGTAGATAATTTTGGTACTAAATTATTGAATTAATTAGATTAATAAATAGATTTTAAAATTTTAGTTTATAACTTACCACATATTATGGTAATAAAATTTATAAATAATAAATAAGTAAATAATAATAACGATTGACAGTTTGCAAACATCTTTCAAAATATTTGATAAATTTTGTACAAATATATAATCAACTAATGGCCGACACATTGACACAAATGAAATCAATGGATATTTTTTGTGGTGAATATCTTTCGCCACCTTTTGATTCATAATCACAATGTGTTTGATTTGTGGCGCTTAACTCAACATTTTAAATAGCAAATTGTTTGTCAAAACTTAATCATTAATCAAAATATAAATGATAAAATTTATATTTATGATATATTAATTTTTACATTATAATGATATAATACAGCTTAGTTTGTATATTTTATTGTATACATTTGAAAATATAGGTATTATTATTATATAAAAACATTTATCAAATTTAAAAATCTTCAAACCTTTAACAGATAAGATAACTGATTGTGAGTCAGTTCCCAATGTATTGGAGACAACACATGAATAGTTGGCCGCATCTGTTGTTTCAATACTTTTGATACTAAATGTGGAAAATTCATCACTCGTTTCAATCTTATAGTTGACATCAGGACTGGACTTAATTGTCTGTCCATTCAATTGCCACTCAAAGAACAGTGGATGTGATCCTCTAAGAGGTGAACAAATTAAACGAAAAGCAGTGCCTGTTGTTTGGTTAATAGGACCCATAAATGGACTCAATTTAGGAGCTAATTATCAGAAAATTTTCGTCAATTATTTTGTTAATACATATAAGATATTAAATATAATACCCATTGATTCAGTAATTATAATTGATTGTGATATCAATAACATTAAACAAATTAGATAAAACATTTTAAAACTTATTCTGTATAATCACAAACTATACAGTAAATTAAATTATATCACACACACACATATATATATATATATAGTATAATGGCTGACAAAAAATATTAAACCTTAATTATATAATATATTTAATAGATTTTTCTAACATATCTTTCGCCACCTTTTGTTTGCCATTCAATATGTTTGTCAAAACCGCCATTATTTGAGTGTTATATCAAAACTGTAAGAATTAGTTATATAACAACCCATTGATCTTACAGTTCAGTAAAGCATAAAAATACTTGATTTTCATGTTTTTGTTAATTTCAATATAAATTTTGAAAATAATCTAACCTTTGATGGATAGTATGACTGTTTGTGTGTCACTTGCGATGCCATTCCTCACAACACACGTGTAATTACCGGAGTCTTTACGAGTGATACTCTTTATGACAAACATTGAAAACGTTTCATAATTTTCAATCTTATAGTTGACATCAGGACTAGATTTAGCTGTCTGTCCATTGATAGTCCACTCAAAGAAAAGTGGAGGACTTCCTTCTTGTATTGTACAATAGATTTGAAACAATGATTTCTCATTTAAATTCATTTGACTTAAAAATGGTATAAGTTTTGGTGCTAAACAATCAATATTTATTCACATTACTTATTATTTCTTAATAAAATTATATTTAATTACCTGTTATACTAGCATTTGTAACAAAATTGATTGATAATAATATAATATATAATATTATATGCATTTTTCACTTATTTTGTAAAATATTTAGCTTATTATGAATTAAAGTACCAAAAAATTATATATGAATGACAACAATACTATTATGGCTGACAATGGATACAATCTTAAGAGTATAAGTGATACTGATTTTTTTGGTGATATCTTTCGCCACCTTTTGATTTGCAATCAATTTATTTGTATTTAAGCGCAAAATATTATTTTATTTAAACGCTATATAAACAAACTGTAAGACTTTGATTGATATAATGATTTAATAACTAAAAACTTATATATTCTGTATTTAAATTTATAAAAAAAATTATTTTAAAAATATTATACACTAATAAAAATTATTATAAATTTTAAGTACTGTTAACAATTTTTCATATTATTGATGTAACATCAGTGACATCACATTAAATGTTCAATTAAAATTATTTACAATTTAATTACAATATAAGTATTTATAATTATAAAAGCACCTAGCTAATATAATGATAATGTCTAGGGTCATATCACGCTGAAAGCACCGGTTCTCGTTTGATCACCGAAGTTAAGCAGCGTTGAGACCGGTTAGTACTTGGGATGGACACCACCTGGGAATACCGGGTGTCCTAGACACTTTTTTGTTTAGATTTTATTTTTTTTATACCAAATAAACTATATATTATGTAGAATATACAAATTAAATTACTTTATATTTAGCAAACCTCTATATCTATCTAAATTAAATGCAAAGCTATTTACAATTTTATGCAATTTTTTTATATAATCAGTAAATTTAAATACAGTATATAAACCAAATTTCATATTTATTTATATTCATTATCTGTTTTTATATATATTAAATGTTTTTACCTTTAATTGAGAGGACAACCGATTGGCTATCAGTGCCGACAGCATTGTTCACACGACACGTATAGTTTGCCGCATCAGCTCTAGTGATGGACTCCATCACAAACATTGAGAACATACGCGAGTTATCGATCTTATAGTTGACATTCGGACCCGACTTAACAGTCTGTCCATTGATTGTCCACTCAAAGAAAAGTGGAGGACTTCCCTCTTCAATAGTACACGTAATTTGAAAATATGAGCCCTCTTTTAGATTTCTTTTACTCATAAATGGCATTATTTTTGGAGCTAAATATAGTTATGTTATTAATTTAAATTATAATATATATTATTTAATTCATAATACCTATTAGTTGGGCTGAATTAATATATTCAATCAGTTTGAAAACACAAACAATTAGTATATATTTCAACATATTATCAGTTATTTTTTTCTAGAAATTATTTCCGACTATGATATCAGTTATGGCCGACAATATAGCTCTTAGAATATAGAAATTTATATTTGTTTGAATTTTTTTTGGTGATATCTTCGCCACCTTTTGATTTGCAATCAATTTAATATACTAAATATTTATAGCATAATAGTTAACACTACAAACTGTAAGCTTTTAATCATTAATAATAGAAATTAATTATTATATAAATCATTATTTTAACATGATAAGATTTGGCAATTTTTATTATTAAAAATATATAGTAATTGCAAACTCATTTGACATAATCATAACCGATAATCGTTATTAGTTAACACAATTTATATCATTGAATAATATATTTTAAAAAGTAATTTTTCAAAATATATTAAGATAATAAAAATATTAGACATTGAAATAAGATTATCAAATGTAAACTCTATTATTTAATAATAATAATATAAATATAACCTTTGATTGACAGTACAGTTGATTGTGAATCACTTGCCATAGGATTCCTTACAAAACACGAATAATTTCCGGAATCATGTCTTGCAATAGTTTTTATAGTAAATGCAGAAAACATTTCAAAATTATCGATCTTATAGTTAACATTTGGACCCGATTTGAGTAACTGTCCATTTTTATGCCATTCAAAATTAATAGGACCCGATCCCTGTTGTAATGTACATGTTATCTGAAAATATGTGCCCTCTGTTTGACTCCGATGGCTAACCAAAGGTGCTAACTTTGGAGCTAATGTTTAAATAGTTTAAAACAAACTAATAGTAAAAAACAACTTTTTAAACAAATCCTATATCTATGTTATAAATACCTATAAAGTCTTGACATTTTACACTAAAAATTATTATTTTTATACAGAATATCACTAATGATAACATTTTAGTATACATCTTGACTTAAGTAAACATTTGATTCAAAATCACACAAAATATTCAACAATGGCTGACATTATATATTTGAAGCAAAAGATCATAAATGATATCAAATGTAAATGAAATGATGTCTACAATAGTGACACATATTGTTTGCCATTCATATTGTCTTTATTTGGCGCTTTAGACAAAGTTTTAAATAAGTTTATATTTAATAAACTGTAACATTATATCCAGTAAAACATAGCCACTATTAAAGGTTTGTTAAAAATAATAGTTAATATTTGAAAATTAAAGTTTAACACATTTAATTTATAGCAATATATTATTAATATATCAATAAATTTTAGATTAAATATTGAATATTAATTAATTTATAATATAATAAAATAAGTTGAAAATGATGTGTTTATAATAATAAAATGATCATGATAA